TATAAATAGAAAGGAGACTCCGATCATACTGAGGGTCACACAATCTTGGTCTTCATATATCCGATAAATTCTGCAAATTAATTGCTTCCAAATGTGTAATCTTGACATCTATTTAATCACGTATGGTCTTTTGACACGCATTATCAGAATATCTTATACTTAATAATTTTGTGACATCCCTTTTTTGAGACAGTCGTTTATTGCTGATCACTTATTCATGAAGCCAGCTTTTTTATTTTCATCAACATTAAGTTGTGTTTGTACGAACATCTAATTCAGGCATGGTAAATGCTCTCATTATTATAACTATTTCTATTACCTTAGGTGAACTTGGACTAACGATAGAATGCGATCGTTAAATTACGAAGTTTGCATTATTTCCGATATGCTGAAATTTTAAAATGTCAGTGTTGTCACGATACCTAGTTGTAGCCTCTTTTTTCATCTAAGAATCATGTTTATATTTTTAAATTGTTACATTCACTATTATTAACTTGTGATGAGTTGAATCTCCGCTCCTTTTTATAATAGATTTTGTATTTATGCATAAAGAATACGAATATCTGATGAGGGTCTTTTTTCCCGAGGCTTTTGGGCTTCGCAATTCTTGTCTAGGATGGGTAATATTTTCTACCTTAGGAGGTTTGACAACGGAAACCTTCGTGATCAGCACTTTACTTCGTATTTTTATTGTCAGCTCACGCCAGACTGAACAACTATTTTTTTGTCAATCTTTATACCTTACAAGGCCAGTCTGAAAACCTTCAGTATGCGGTGCTAGGATTTAGGTAAACTATAAAGCCTCTGCTTACTTTTATAGACTTGTTAACGGTCGAGCCTTGGCTTTAATATTTGTGAACGAAGGCTAGTCAAATCCCTTAAGGGATTTTTTTTGCCTCGGCTCCCACTTAGTTAAAACGCCCGCCAACATAGAGCAAAGTGACAGGAGGAATAATCCGGCGAATACAGGCCTCTACATATTCATAAATCAATTCGAAAAATATTTTCTCTAATGAGGATGAACCTTGGCACATTTATTAGACAAAGGTTTTTCTATATTGTATTTTAGAACATAATCTGGTCTTTTTCGACGTAAATAAATTTGTTTAAGTATAACCACTAAATTGTATTTTTACGATTGCTCGCTTGGGAACATTAATTTCTGGCTAACACTCATTATCTACTCTGTTTTTAATACCTTTGTGGCTATCTGGTAGATCGCGACATCCGACCTTTGGGAGCTGGCGAAGGATCGCCGGCGCCTGCAGTGCTTGCTATCCTACATAGCTGAGAAGTGTCTCCTTGCCTCTGACCTTATTGAACCTGACCTTGTAGAGCCTTTGTATCTTGCCCGTGTACATATTCGGAATCAGGGTTCACCTATCTTTGATACGACTCTTCGATTCACACTTTCAGCTCTCTGGAACCTTACTGATGAATGCCCAGATGCTTGCCTCGGCTTTGTGCAGGAATGCGGATTACGTATATACGAGAAAATGTTGGAGGTAAATTTTTTGCCATTATATATATAAGAAATAGACAATATTTCCTATTAGTTGCGACAGTGTATATGAGTTAAGAACTTATCATGGTAATGAGGCTCGATTTCGGAATTACTTTTTTAATTTAATTACATATACGATCCACATAGAATGATCTTCGTTTGACTCTAGTTTAGGCTCAACTTTAGTTCTTATTTTGGTTTGGTTAGGCATCTATGTATCTTTATCATCATCATTAGTCACTATTTACTTCTTTTTGACTGTAAGATAACTAGGTTACATTAGAGATGTTCTCTCATATTGTGCAAACTTTTATATCAAAGAGACGATTTTCCACACAAATGTGAAAAATTAAAGCAATAAATTGAACAACTTGGTCCGACCTAGCTATTTTTTAGTGAAAATTCATTTAACTTTTTCACTTATGTTGCCTCTGCTATTGTTTTTATGCTTTCTTTAGCATAGAACAGCTTTTGGGTATATTTACAGACTTTAATGGCCCTCAATTGCAATGGAAAATGAAGTCAACTCCATTGGTCAATTTTATATCTGTGTTTTAACAACTCTCATCCTTGCCTTAGTCCGCTGCGTTTCATATTTTTATGTCTTTATTTATTTCTTACTTAAGACGGCTTCCCTAATTTTCATCTTTATCTTATTCGTGCCCCTCTTCTGAGAAAATAATTTTTTTCTGTTAATGAGTCTATTGGGGCATGTTTACCCCTACCGTACATATACCATTTCCTGAGTAGGATTTTTTGGTCTGGATTTGCACCGCTACTAAGCCAATCCTTAAATCGAAATCGAGACAAGTGAGTCAACGTCGATCAAACATTAAGTGATATGATCTTGCAAAAATGCACAAGGCCAGACTTAGTCCTATTGCCATCACTAATATTTAAGGATAAAAAATGTCAGTAACTTTGAGCCCATTCTTTGTTTCTACTCGATATTACTTGACAACAATACTTGTATGAAAAGTACTTACCCTATTTCGAAACCCTACTTATTAGCGAAAAGCAATGCTTAAATTCTCGATGATTCAATAATCAGTAGGCCTTGAATCAAAACTTTAGTTAGCTTAAGTCGATTAAGGTCATAAATCACTGTTAGTAAATTTTTTTACACAGAATATGAGTAGCTGCCTTCGCGCCTTCAAAGGCCTACTCATATCTTTTTACGGAATTCACTATCAGTCCTTCATCACCTTAGGCCACCTAGAGTGACTAAAGCTCTGCACTTATAGTATCCAAATCCTACTTATCATAACCACTAGTTATACTTTTGACTACGGGCTACATTAACCCTAAATCGTATAAGGAGGTAAAAGAGAACTTTTCTCACAATGATATCGGTAGGCCTCACCTTTACTGGAATTCATTTAACCTTGCTTCTCAAAAGATTTGAATTCAGAGTTAACTACAGTTTCTATCCTGCCTCGGTCTCATCTCCAGCGGGACATGAACCAGAGTAATGCAGCGTATAATATAGACCCAACGGGTCCTTCTAAGAGTCCTGTTGATGAGACTTAGGCGAGGTCGAATTTGCAGTTCATCCTGTTTTAGGATACCTTTTGGAAAACAAAGTGAGGCTTAATCTTATGATTATTGACTAATTAAACTTGGCCCTTAATCACTATACGCTGCCTTGGGTGATTATAACTCTTATTCAGGATTTACTGATAGTTTCTAAACCTACTTAAATGTCTATAATGTTTTCGACTATTATGGCAAATAAGGATTTGCTTCAGAGGCAATCTCAACTTAAAAATGAGTTTTGAAAGAGATTTAGTTTGTCTTGAAAGTCGCATCTGTTCTGTTACCTATTGGCATCTTTGGCAGAGTGGAATGGCCATTACATGTTGCAAATAATTTTTTAAAATTTTGTTCGAGTTTAATTTCCGCAGGGATGTCGATAAGAATCAGGTGAGGTCGAAACTGCAGCCTATTATGAATGAGAATATCCTTTGGAAACCAACGTTAGCGAAATTCAATGAAATTGCGGCCTACTCATATCATTGTTGTAAAGTTCACTTACTGCTTTACACCTTAGGCGACCAGGGCTAAAGTTATGAAGAGAAGCTGGGATTCGAAGAATCCTTTCGTTTGAGAAGGCGGGTCGAAGGGATTAGCAGATTGGCCTCACGGGATTCCGCAGCAGGGTTACCTGCGATATATATATTTTTGTTGGGTTGGTTTTTAAAAAAGTTTAAATGAAGAGATTCATTGTTTGATCGTCATAAAACCGCAGCCGATTTCCCCTGGACTCTTGAAATTTAGCTTTATTTGGATATTAAAGCTGTCACGTTTCTTCCTAGGGTATGAACATTTTTTGGCTACCCATGTTGGAAAATCTTTTCGCTCTATCTCCTGAAGAGTAGCTGAGTTGTTGAGTCCTATAGTCAGAGGTTGTCTTGAGCTCGCATTAGATTGGACTTAAGATGGATGGGTCTCAAAATTCATCGGTTTTCTTAATATTAAAAAAAATTAAGTCCTTGTGAACTAGGATATATGCTACTATTAATAGTAAAACAAGTCCAACAAATTGATTGTCCCTCTTTAAGTTCATTTTTTGGATTATAAATATATTTTATAGATGAGTCATCTGGTTTTTTTGATGCGGTGTTGGCTTGGAGTCGTTATAAGAATAATGTCAAGCTTTGGCTTTATGCCATATAATAACTCAGAAGCTTTACAAGTTTCCACCGGATAGGAAGGAACATGTATAGCGGATTGCAACAGCTTGAATATCCAAGTACTGCTAAACTAGAGAAGATCTGTGGAAACTTGTCATCATTTTTTATAGAGATCTAACTTTTAATCTCTTCTTTGTATGCTTTCCCACAATTAGTCAGTATAATACATATGTACGAGGAAATTCATTGAAACCCACTATTTTCGTATATGAATATTAGTTTATAAGGCGAATACAATCTTTGGCAGCTAAACACACAGTAAACACAGAAAAATGTAGAATCCTGAGACCTTTCTGATCAATTAGAATCTGCCGTCTCTTATCAATGAGGTTACTTATGATTACGTATCACATTTTCATATGAAATGAAAGTCATCCTTGCACTCATCCATTTACACTTACCCTGTTTGAACTTGTTTGCTTCTGAATATTAACAGATTTGCTTCTCGTGTATTTTCCATTATTGAGATCTTAATGATGGTCACTAATCCTGCAAAATATGTTCCATAAAATTACTGTTACTTTATCCTTAATTAAATTTTCCATGAGTCTTCCCTAAACATGTTTAATTTATTTAAATACTACAATCCCTATCCAATACGATTACTCTTCCGATTACTAAAATAAGAGTTAGGTGTCTGAAATCAATACCTCTTTATCTCCAAGTCCGAGCTTGAATAGACTTTCTGGCTTTTATGTTGCTTGTAATGTATCTTATTACTAAAGTTCTCTTAGATATCTCTGGTATTATATTAATTATTTACTTTTTTAGTTGAATGCTTTTAGATTAAATAATTTTGTCTCCTATACGAATTTGGTAATGTTTTTTTTCTATTATCTTCAGCGATTTGCCGATCAAGATTCTGAAATGAAGAATCACGTGTACACAAAATGTCTGGGCCTCCTAGTAAGCAACGGATATATTTTGCACAATTTTTTAGGTTTAAATGTATATTTCTAGCCGCTTATACTACTTCACCTATTTTGCATAAAAAGCCTTCTAGAGTCGGTTTGACCTCGCATTCTCAGTTTAATGGTGCTTTTAAGGAGGCATTGAACACTACTCCGTATTGCGTCATCTGCCATTATTTTGTTTTATTTCAACACCACAGCTTTGGCTGGGTACAGGGCTAAAAGTGAATATGGAAAATAGAAGAGAACTCAGTATGGGCTACGTTTTTAGAAGTATCTCTGAAAAAACTGCTAAGTTAAATGATTAAATCAAGTATACAGCAAAATGAGACCGTTAATAAAACCAAACTCCGCACTATCGTGACTTTCATAACTAAACCAGTTTGATTTTTTTTCAGATTTAGAACTATTTTAAAATCCCTTTTGTCTCGACACTATCTATTCCTTCGCCCTTCTGTTTGACCAATTTCACAAACTCTCCCTGGCACACGACCAAGTTAAGAAAACGAGCTCAGTCCACTTCTATACTTAGAAAGGGGAATGCGAGCATACCAAATGCCACACCATCTTGCTCTTCGTATCTTTTTTACATACTCTGAATTTTTTTCTGAATATATTCCTTGTGAGATTCGATTCAAAACAAAATGATCGAATCTCTTATCATGATAATCTAAATCAAAATGCTCATTATTTTACTCTACTCGAGGCCGTTAGTTATAAAATGGCTAATTATAAACTAATTATGATAACAATTTCTACCAAAATAGCTTTCGCTTTAAATTCGAATACGCATAACTTTTTATCTTTTTCTTGCTGTTAAATATCACTGCTTCAGCCTTGTTTGACTTCGTTTAATTTTAGCCAACCCAATGATCTGAACATCAATTCTGTGATATAAGACCAATATGTTGTGGCCTCTGGTATGGTCGCAGTCTCCTTTCGATTTATAGAAGTGGGTTGACCTCGTCGCAACTTGGTTTTGTTGTCAGGGCGACTTAGTAGAACGCACCTAGTCCAAAGTCGTCTGCCATAGTAGTTATCATGATTCCCAGAATCAGACAGTGGACTTGGTACATTCTCAAACGTTTCATCGGCATCGTAGTCGGCATGATCAATGAGTTTTGCCATTTTCCACACCAAGCTACGAACTCGTCAAAAAGACAAGTGAAGTGAGTTTTCAGCAAAACGTTTGTCGAGGGATTGACTTCATTTGTCTCTGACAAGTTCGTAGCTTGGTGCGGAGAATGGCAAAACTCACTGATCATGCTGACTACGATGCCGATGAAACGTTTGAGAATGTACCAAGTCCATTGTCTGATGCTGGGAATTATGACAACTACTATGGCAGACGACTTCGGACCAGGTGCGTTCTACTAAGTCGCCCTGAGAACAAGACCAAGTTGCGATAACCAGGTCAACCCACTTCTATCAATTCTGTGGTTTTTTCTTAAATAATTCTAGTTCGTTCTTCGTATCCGGTAACTTGCTGCAATTATTTATGATCGCTCTATCAGGCGTAGATGCTTTTATCTTTATGATTTAATCGAAGGTATGAAGATTAAGATGATGTGGCCTTTTGTGTGGTCGCAGTCTCCTTTCGTTGTATAGAGGTTGTTTGACCTTGTTTTCG